GATAAAAACCTCTTCAGCCTCCTCCCAAGCCCGCAGGACTTTGAAGAAACTTTTCCGAAGCTTCGAACACATTTTTCCCTCGTAAATTTTTATTTTTTTTTAATTGCACTAAAAAGGAACGTTCTTGCCCTCCCAAGTGACATCGGGGTGAGAGGGATGGGCTGGGGCGGACACAGCAGAGAGGTGACACCTTCTCATTCCTGTGTTGACGATTCCTGGCTCCTGTCCATCCCCCTCCCCCTCCTTTGGGAATTCCTGGTTTCACAGCCAGGACCCTCCTGCTCCTTCCTTTCTCCAGCCAAGCACACTTAGAGCATGGACACGGTGAGATTTTGGGGTGAAACCGGCCGTATTTGGGGTCTCTGGTTTTCCTGTTGTTGAGATGATGGGAGCTGTGGCTTCGATGCTGCCCGTGCTTTGGGGTCCCCTCTCCTGGTGGGGTTCAGTGTCACACGTGACTGTGGAAATGCTGGGAGTCCAGCTCCGGGCTCCATGCGCTGGGTTTTCCAGAGGTGTTTTTAACCCCGCGGTGAGGACACGTCACCTCCCAGACAGGGCAGGAGGACAAGCAGCAGGATCAGAGAGCCCAGCGTGGTCCATCTCCAACTATGCTTCATCTCCAACTATGCTTCATCTCCAGCCATGGTTCATCTACTGCCGTGGTTCATCTCCAACCTTGACTCGTCTCCAGCCATGGTTCATCTTCAGCCATGGTTCTTCAACCTTGATCATCTTCAACCATGGTTCATCTCCAACCTTGGTTCATATTCAACCATGGTTCATCTCCAGCCGTGGTTCATCTCCACCTTTGGTTCATCTCCATCCAAGGTTCACTTCCAATGTGCCTGCTCCTTCACAGAGCCTGGACATCCCCGTATCCCTGCACAGGGATCTGCCACCAGATGGGGCATGACTCGGGGCAGATGGATCTGCTGTCCCAGAGTCAGTGAGGGCTGAGGCTGAGTCCCTGCCCCACAGCTACCACCCCACGGCACTGGGGACCTTCACCTCTGCCATGTGCGAGTGCCTAACTCTCCTGCTGTGACCTCGCAGAGCCTTGAGGAGATCTGGAGGGCCTGTGAAGGAAATGTGGCTGTAGGTGTTAGAGGAGCTGCAGAACCTCTCGGGATGAGGCTTCATCTCTGGGTTAGGACACGAAGAACTTGGTCATTTACATCTTTCCATGGGAAAATCTCATCCAAGTCCAGCCTAGGGAAGCTCTGAGGTGTGGGTGGAAGCCCCGGGGGTTGTCCATGGCCTGAGGGAGAGGAGAACCCCTGTGGAAGAGGGATGCATGTGTGGGCATTGCTGCAGAGCGATGGGGACCGACGGCTGCTGAGCTCTTGGGCCTGTTTGGTGGGATGTCCGGGTCCTTAGTGATGGAGCTTTAAACCCAGCACCAACCTGATGGTGAGATTTTATCTGGATTGCTGAGAGATGTCTGGAAACACCTAATCTCTGCTGTGTGTCTGTCAACTCTGGACCCATCATGGCTCTTGTGAGAAGAGAGGAGCTGATGGAACCTGTTTTCTCCTTGGTGGGCTCCATCCTCAGTCCCCACTCCATGGCTTTGGCAGGAAGGTCTCCTCCATGGTGTGTTTCCCACCCTGGGATGCTCATCCCAAGACTCTGCCCTCACCCCGTCCCGGCACAGGGTGGGTGACGGTGGCCAACGCTGGGATGAGGGATGGGTTTGGGAAGGAGCCTGAAGGGATGGGAAAGGGGGATCCCAGATCCCAGGGGGTTTCTGAGTGGGACCAGGACGTGCTCATTGCCGGAGGGGAGGGTGGGTTTCCCTCTCCCCTCAATGCAACTGCCCCATCCAGGGTGAAAATCCAGCACTTCACTGAAGGCCTGTTGAGGTCCAGGAGAAGTCCTCTTCTCCTGCAGAGATGCACGTAAACTGATGTGTCTGCAGGAACAGAGAACATTTATGGAGAATAAAAAGTATATTTTCAAATGTGTAATGAACTAACCTGGGAGCTTGTATCTGAGGGGGGTTTACGTTCACTCTGTTTTTCAGATGGGGAAAATGAGTCACCAACTAATGGCCAAGGGGAGATCATAGAATCATAGAATGGTGCAGGCTGGAAGCGACCTTAGAGATCATTTAATCCAACCTCCCTGTCATGGGCAGGGACACCACCTCTGGACTAGACCAGGCAACACATGGGGACCGAGCGGGAATCGAACCCGCAACCTCGGTGTTAGTCATTCTCAGCACTGCGCTCAAACCACTGAGCTAACTGGCCCCCTAATTAAGAACTGGAATGAATTGCATGGTGATTTTTCACATTCTGAGGGAATTAAAACCTTTTTACCATCATTCCTGCCCAGGTCTCAGCCTCATTTTTCACCTAAGCGAAGCGAAGGGTGGAGAGGCTGAAAGTGGTTTCCTCAAACCTCTTCGGTGAGAGGTTTGTGGCCTGAGACCCTGGGAGAGGGGCCAAGGGAGGATGGGACCCACCACCACGGATGTGGGCAGGGATTCTCCTGCTGGTAACGGCATCTCGGCCCCATTGAGATTTGGTGAAGGGTGTGTGACATGGAAATATTGGAATATTTTTGTCCTTGTAAACCCCTGGGTGCCCCTCCACCAGCCAGAAACATCTAAAAGGACTTCAGAAACCTTTTGAGAAGCACCTCTAAGTCTTCTCAATTGACATAAACCCCAGTCTTATAACTCTGATGGACTGATGCTCTCTGGTTGTGAAACAGTTTTGGCCAACCCGAGCTTAACCCTCTCTGAGAGTGAGGTTGAACTGACAGAAGCGATTGGGCAACCAAGGTTTTTTTGTTGGAATTCAGTGAACCAAGCACCTGCCATCGGCTTGGAATGATCGATCGAGCTGAAACAAGGGTCTTCCTCAAGGGCGTGATGTGTCAAGGAGCTCGTCGGGCTTTGTCATTGCTGTTAAGAGGCTCAGGATGACAAGTTGCAGCTCAGGGAACCCGGTTTGGAGTTGGGCTTCCAACACCAACAACGGCTTTTGTTTTCCTTAGCTCTCGAGGGAGTGTTTTGAGGCAGGTCACGGTGGTGGCAAAGAGAGGAGGGCACCCTTCCAAGTGCTGAAACAATGAATAGAATTTAAAAAAAAAAAAGAGACTTCTCCACTCCCCTGACACCTAGCCAACTCCTTGAGCACATAAAAAGGGGCTCTCAGCCACAGCACCCACGGGACTCACCTCCTCCTGCCTCCGAAGCTCCTCCTGCTCACCGCACCACTCGGCTCTCCTCTCTTCAACGAGCGACCGACGCCGTCACCATGTCTCGCCAGTCCTACGGTCTCAGCAAGGGGTTCAGCTCCAGCTCCGCTTGCTTTGGAGGGAGGAACAAGGTCACGTTCAGCTCGATGTCCCGTGCAGGGTGCAGGGGACCTGGCAATGCTGGGGGCTTCAGCAGCAGGAGCCTCTATTCCTTGGGAGGGAGTAAAAGTATCTCCCTGGGAGGATTCAGTGGAGCTGGTGGAGTCTGCAGAGCTTTTGGGGCTGGTGGCCAAGCAGGCTTTGGCTACGGTGCTGGGGCAGGATTCGGTGGTGGCTATGGCAGTGGCGTCGGAGGTGGCTTCTATGGAGGCCTCGGTGGTGGTTTTGGTGGCTTTGGTGGAGGATTTGACTATGGGATCGGAGGGCAAGGCTTTCCCACTTGCCCACCGGGCGGCATCAGGGAGGTGACCATCAACCAGAGCCTCCTGGCCCCGCTCAACCTTGAAATCGACCCCGAGATCCAGAAGGTGCGAACGCAAGAGCGGGAGGAGATAAAGAAGCTCAACGACAAATTTGCTTCCTTCATCGACAAGGTGAGGGTGGCGTCAAACCCGGGGCTGGGAGGCGGAGGTCTGAGCTCGCCGTGGATGGTCGCAGTAATAGAGAGATACCTATCCCATAATGCCCAGAGAGACAGAGGATGCCAAGATCACCCCAAAGAACCCCCGTAGACAGCAAGGCTGGAGAGGCGACATTATGGAGAAACCCAGGAAAAGGATCCTTGGTCCTTAAGACCACAACATTGGTGCTGAGCTGTGGGACTGTGGCGACCAACATGCAGACCATCCTCAGAGGACTCTCTGCTGGTGGATTCTGTCCGTTCATGCGCTGAAGGACTTCAGGTGTTTTGGCCTACTTTGAAGGAGAAAATGCCAAAGCCCTGAAGTTCGTCACTTTTCTCCTGTTTAGAGACCATGAGATAGGAGAGGGAAGGTGACCCACCTTTGCCCCCTCACCCTAGAGCTGTGGTCCCACCTGCCTGGTGGGATCTTGGGGTTATTGCTCACTGGAGACAAGAATAGGCAGGAATGAGGAAAAATTATGGAAAATGTGGGGCAAAAAAAAAAAAAGAAAAAAAGAAAGACGTTTTTAGGAATGGCCTGACTGCTTTTCTACCCATCAGGTCCGGTTCCTAGAGCAGCAGAACCGAGTCCTGGAGACCAAGTGGAAGCTCCTGCAGGAGAAGGGTGGGACAGTGACGGGTGGCAGGAGCCTCGACCCTTTCTTCGAAACCTACGTGAGCGGGCTGAGGAAGCAGCTGGACTGCCTGTCCAATGAGAAGCATCAGCTTCAGTCCGAGCTGAAGAGTTTCCAAGACATGGTAGAAGACTTCAAGACCAAGTACGTTGTTCTCGGTATAGCTGCATCTGGGTGGCGAAAAAAATAGAGATTCAAAACCTGACTTTAGGCAGTCAGAAAATCGAAAGAGTCATGAGAATTGGCAATGGTTCCCTTGTTTCAGCGATTCGAAAATGTCAAAGGTTTTGGGGAGGTTTGCATCAGCGGAGCTTTGACAACGGGTGGTGATTTTTCATGGGATTTCTCAATGTTTGTTGTGCGTCTCACAAGCGCAGGATCCTCCACTATTTGTCTTCCTCACCGAAGAGTCCACACTATTATGACTGAATGAACTAATCAGATCAGTTGCTAAATCCTACTACAATTTCCTCATGGATTCCTTCTTGTAATATCCTTCACGATTCGAAGCTCAGAGCTTTCTTTAAAGGATGATATACGGGGGTAAAAAAATAAAAATATAGTATCTTGTTATTATTTGTCCAGCGGGGAAAATGAAAACAAAGCCTGGAGAAATGCTTCCACTGAAAGAGTTACAAAAAAATGTTGGGAAGGCAAATTTGGGGATCATCAGGACCCCCTTGATCTACTGAGGCTGCAAGTTGAGAATCAACTTTGTTTTGGAGGTCAGCTCCACCACTCCATGCTCTGCCCCGACGAGCGGTTGGAGATGGTCCCTGTTGATGAGCTGAAGGTCCTCGGGTCTCGTAGAAGGAGCTGGAGTGGCCATGGCCACCGAGAGCTCGGTTTGGGCAGAGGTGGAACTTCTCTTTGGCAAAGCCCCGGAGATGGCAAGAGCTTGCGTAGGAAGGCGAAGCACTAGTGCCCGTCCATAAATCTCCCTCCCTCATGGCAGATCTATTTTTGCTGCGTTCATTAGTCGGAGGCCAACAACGCCCTGTTGCCAGCAGCACCCGAAGCCAAAATAAGCAGATTCAATCTCCCTCGTTATAACCAACAGGTACGAAGAGGAAATAAACAAGAGGACAACTGCGGAGAACGATTTTGTGCTCGTAAAAAAGGTAAAGTCCTTGTTGGTTTTTTTAAAAAATTTTTCTTTTTTTTAATATCTTGGGTCAGGGGGTGTCTTGCTCACACTGGTGCTGGTTGGTCAGATGGGACCTCCCCAGTGGGTACCTGCCACGGGGCAAGGGAGCACTGAAGGGCTCTCCGTTAATTGCCTGGGTGGAACGGGATGTGCTGGGCAAAAGGTTTTTACTTCCCAATTTCTGCTGCAGGATGTGGACGGGGTCTACATGACCAAGGTGGAGCTTCAGGCAAAGTTAGATTCTCTGGCAGATGAGATCAACTTCTTGAGGTGTCTTTATGAAGCGGTGAGTGGTCCAGGAGCTTGTGGGAGGGGGATGCTGGGATGGAGAAGGGTTGAGGCTCCACGAGGACTTGGTGGCAGGACTAAGGCCAGGATGGGTGGGAATTGCAGGAGCTGTCTCAGATGCAGAAGACCGTTTCCGACACCTCTGTGGTCCTCTCCATGGACAACAACCGAAACCTCGACCTGGACAGCATCATTGCAGAGGTCAAAGTCCAGTATGAGGAGATTGCCAACAGGAGCCGAGTGGAGGCTGAGACTTGGTACCAGAGCAAGGTGAGTCCACCACATGTCTCTTGCGAACACCGATGTCCAAGGAGGTGGAAGAGTGACTGGTGGGAGCTCAGATCATGCCAAGGCCTGGTGCTGATCTAGCCAGGCTGGAGTTAGCATGTGCATGATCACCTTGGCTCGCCTGGGGTGGCACGGACAGCTGTTGTGAGGTTGTGGCGGACCTAACGTGCTCCTCTCACTTCTACCTATCAGTTTGAAGAGCTGCAGGTTACCGCTGGCAAACACGGAGACAGCCTTAGGGACACGAAGACCGAGATTTCGGAGCTCAACCGCATGATCCAGAGGATAAGGGCTGAGATCGAGAACGTGAAGAAACAGGTAAAGGTTGAGAAATGGGTGTGAGCTCTTTGGTAAAGCCCTTCAGAGCTGCCCCAAAAGCAAATAGTCTGGTAGAGTCACTGCAGGCGGGAGGGAACCTGCCCTGTTTGTGAAAAGTGCGAGTGATCTGGGGTGATGGGTTCAGCCCCAGCCAACTGCCTCTGCCCCACCCATCACGTCTGTGTCTTGTCCTCCAGTGCGAAGTTCTGCAGACCTCCATCGCGGACGCCGAGCAACGCGGGGAGGTGGCCCTCAAGGATGCCAGGGACAAACTGGCCGAGCTGGAGTCAGCCCTGCAGAAAGCCAAGGCTGACCTGGCCCGGCAGCTCCGCGAGTACCAGGAGCTGATGAACGTCAAGCTGGCCCTGGACATCGAGATCGCGACCTACAGGAAACTCCTGGAAGGAGAAGAGTGCAGGTTGGTGGGGGGATACAGGAAGAGCTTGGTTGCATCCCGCTAATTCAATGGGAAGAACGGTGTTGGGGTTACCCATGGACTCTGATCCTCTAGTTGCTGTTATTTATACCCTTGATCTGATGGACCAAGACTGGCTTCATGGAGCTGGGCCTGTCCAGAAGCTCTGACTGGGGCTGACGTTCCACCTCTTTTCCTTGCAGGATGTCTGGAGAGTGCCAGAGCTCTGTCAACATCTGTAAGTAGGGTTCCCATGGGAGTGATCCTCCAAAACCTTGGTGGTGGCATCAGGGGTAACCTCATGCCTTCTGTTCGTCTCTTGCAGCTGTGGTGGGAGGCAGCAGCAGCTCCTTGGGAGGTGGACTCTGCCTTGGAGGAGGAGGATTCGGTGCTGGAAGTGGGAGAGGCAGCTGTAGCACAGGCGGTGCTGGCTTCTGCTACAGCCTGGGAGGGGGTGGATTCGGCTCTGGAGTGGGAGGAGGATTTGGTTCCGGAGGGTTCTGCTCTGTGGGAGGGTCTAAGTCGGTGGTGGTTGGGTCTGGCACCGTCGTGAAGAACACCAGCTCCACGTCCAGCAGCCGGAGGGTCTAGGAAAGTGAGTGTCCCTGCCCCCAGCACCTGAAGGAGAAAGGAAGCAACGTTCATGAAGACCACTACTGCCAAAGTGATGGCCGTTCACTTCACCCCCCACTGGGTTCAGAAACTGCCTGGAAGAGTCAAACTTGGCTCGATTCACTGGGCAATGACCGAGATCATCCACGGCATCTGGGACTGCTCCCCTCGGGACGCTGCCAAGCTGTTCGTCACTGGGGCGCTGAGGACTCGTGTGGGAGCAGGACCTTGCCCCCAGACGAGAACTTCCTAATGGTGACTGGTCCCAGCTGAAGACACCCCTTACCTCACTGCTTTTTTTTTTCTTTTTCTGTGTGTTTTGATTTTCACCCGTTTTCTTTTGAAGCTGTTGTAAAATGTTTAGTTTTGCTCAGGGTTTTCCTTTTCGTTGCGATCATAACAATTGTGCTTGTTTGATTCAGCCTTTCTCCTCCAGCATGTGACATACCCCAATAAACACCAGAGGCACTAAAGCTCGTGTGGTTTTCTCTCTGACCAAAGAGTTTCATGTTGCAACAAGACTCCTCTTTTGCCCAGAGCTGAAAGTCTTTGCTTGACTTTCTCTTGCCCTTTGAAGTTTGCATTTAAAGGAACCAAAGAAAACCTCTCTCCTTTCCTCTCTCCCCAGTCTTGGATGGTTTGCAGGTTTGGCAGGAGGGTGGAGGAGGTTCTCGTGGGGTTGAGGCGGTTGGGTCAGGTTCTGTGGAATGGTCTGATCCGGCTGGGTCTGTGAAACACGCAGAGTTGTTCTGTGAAATATGTCTGTGTCAGGGGTGGCCAGGTTGGACCTGGATGCTTTTTTCCTCTGTCCTGGGTCTCCTGGGGCGACAGAGTTGGTTGGCCCCGTTAGAGCAGAGTAGCCTTTGGAGATGTTAGGAGAACTTTTTCTTCCTAGGCCCTTTCCTTGCTCGTGTTGGCCACTGTGACTAGTCCACCTCGGACTGACCACAGCCTCCACTGGCCTCCACTTGGCCTTGCCGGTCCTCCAAGGTGGTCCCAGTGCTGTGGTGCCCACAACTGGTGCTGTCATGGCAGAGACACTGCACAATCACAGGTGCTTTTGGAGCATCTTATAAGGGATGCAGTGGGAGAGGGAAGGGTGGTCGTCACCCCTCCAGCTAACCCAGAGCTAATTCCTCAGGATCCATGATGTTGGGGCCAGTTCTGCAGCTTCAACTGTTGACTGGGCTGGTTGCTTTTAAGGCATCTCCAAAAGGTGGCTGAGACCATGAGAAGAGCAAGGTCTCAACCCCCTGCCAAGCCCTACCTTTCCACAAAAGTAGAACTTTTTTTTTTTTTTGATGATCTGTAAATTCAGAGCCAAAAATCTCCTGGTGTGGTTTGACCTCTTGCTCAGGAGACCTTGAATCACACCCCCGGTCAACCGCAGACCGGCTCCGCGCGCCGAGTGAGTCATTTCATTGCTCCTCCGCTCTGTTCCCTGAGACAGAAACCTGCGGAACGTTGGGAGGTGCCAGCAAAGGCGTGTAAGGACTTGGCCGAGGAGGTGGTTTGGGCAATGGTTGACTACACTAAGTGAGTTGTAAAGGGACCTGAGATGGTGTTGAATGAAAAGACAACGACTTCCCTCAGAGCCACCCCAATCCAGCTGCCTCTGTGTAAACTTGCCTCCAGCAAACAACTCCTGACATCAGTGCAGAAGAGACAAAAGGCTCCCAGATGTCTACAGCTGGGACAAAAAAGCCACCCAGTTCAACATCCAAAAGCCTTTTGTTCCTACCATCGCACCGGCAATTAGGGGAAAGTTCTCCTGAGCTGGACCGAGAGGTGACGCAATTTCTGCCTTTCACCGGAGGAGCGAAGAAAACATTTCACGGGGCCTGAAATAAATTTTGGTGAAGTTTGTCATGATTCCACACCCCCCTTTTTTATTTCCATGGAATCATCACAGAACAGATTTTTTTTTGGGGGGGAAGGGACCTTCAAAGTTCATTTTCCTTCCTTGGGTACCTCCATGTTTGAGATCCCTCCATCCCAGGCTAAAGCTGCCCCATCGGGTCAGAGCTGGGTGATGATGTTGATACCCAAACCCTAGTTCGATTTCCTAAACTTGGCCATGACTCAACCCAGGTGTTATCCCACACAGATGCTTTCTGATCGTTCCGGATCCATGGAAGCTAGGAAAAAAACCTCCAAAATGCCCCCCAAAAAGCATTGCCAGGTATTTGGTGACACAGAGAGAGGTGAGGGAAGGTGTCATGACTGGGTGTGCGTGATGGTATCTGCAGGAGTTATGAGGCCAGGGCACCCTCTGGTGTGGTGGGTGGTGGTGGAACATCCTTAATGGGTAAACCAGAAGTGGGCTTCACAGCCCGGGTTTGTGGATATGGAGCTGCCAGGCCCTGCCTGTGATTTGCCACTCCTCCAGATGGGTTGAGAGATCCTCACCCTGAGAAGGGATGAGGTGTTGGTCAAGTCTTTTGGGTCATGGTTGAAGTCACGTCTGAGGTTGTGCTCCAGAACCTCCCAGGCTGGGCAGGTGTTTGTCCCAGCTGTGGCATAGAATTATAGAATTGCCAGGGTTGGAAGGGACCTTAAAGATCTTGTTCCAACCCCCTGCCATGGGCAGGGACATCCCCCACTAGATCAGGCTC